TCCCTTCCATCATTTAATGGATTGACAAATATATTGGAACGATGAAGGACAAGAAAAATTAGGGAAAATTATATGTGGTCTTTGTAATTTGAGTGTTGTGTCAATTTGATCTCTGTACTTCTAATTATATCAATTTTACATCCTTCAATATTTTCACATTGTGTCAATTTAATCCAATTGATAATACCGGTTAAGAAATTGAACAAAAGTCAAGGGTAAAATGGTCCATTCAAAAGGGAATGAACCATTTCAAATTGGACACTAACCCCTCAATCATTTTGAGGAGAGTGAATGGATTATTTTCTGCATTGATTTCAATTCAATTTTTAGAAGGGCGTTATCAACTGGACTACATTGACACAATGTGAAAAATTTGAGGAGAAAATCGATACAATTAATATTACAACAAGAAGCAAACTACATCACTGGTGTGAATCCTAAAAATTAGTACATGCTAGAAAGAAGTAGATACTGTAGACACCCCATTTTTGACCGATCTTAAGACTCAGACGTCATCGATTGAGCGCTCGGTGATTGCGCATGTTGTGCTCGTTCTGAGGTTACCGAGTCTCGACTGAGAGCCTTGCCTTCGGACCTCGGGACCCTTTTATGCTTTGCCTCAATTTGCAGACCAGGTGTTACTTTCTCTTCTCGGAGGGAGGGAGAGGTCTTGTAGACCATCTCTCAGTGGTTGTAGGTTACTTTTCGTAGTCGCAGGCCACTGTTCCCGTTTGGAGACCAGTTTCCGGTTTTCGGAGCCGTCGGCCGCGCGCCTCAGTTCGGGACCACTTAACATTCTCCGTTTGGCACAGTTTTTGGCACACACCTTGTTTCCTCTGTCTAGAGGGACACTGCGGCCCAGGAGACTGCCTTTGTGGTCGCATACTACTTTGGTGCTTAACAGCCTGTTTTCGGGGCACTCGGCCGCGCGTTTTGCCCCCCTAACCCTCGTTTTGCATCGGTGTTGGTTCATTTTTGGTGTGAACCTTGTTTTCATTGTTTGGAAGGTGGTACAAGGGTGGAAGACCACCTTTTTTCTTGGAGAACGCTTCTCTCTCCGCCAGCTGATTTTCTTGTCAAGAAACTGGTCTCCTTGATTTTTGAGCCACATTTGTTGGTCTCCCACCATACCACTAGCTTGCATGCAGTTGGGAGACCATCAAATAGGCTGGCCGGCCACTTTTCCTTCAGGGAGACCACTCACCCTGGTCGGGCGACCAGGGGAAGTGGTCGACCGACCACTTTAACTGGTCAGCCTGCTCCCTCCAATTTTGTCTCTGTGAGTTGTTGCCAGCTGTGCTAGCTGGAAGGCACAGACTGTATCCCCCATACACGTGTATGGAGGATTTGTACCCTTGCTTTAGCTTCTTGAGGAAGCTTGAAGCCTTATTCTAGCTTCTTGAGGAAGCTTGAACCTTTGCTCTAGCTTCTTGAGAAAGCTTGAACCTTTGCTCCTCTATAAGAGAGGGCCTCCCTCTCCTTATACCAGGTTCCAAAAAAATTGTTTAAGGCAAAATATATATCCCTCTCTATATCTCTACATTTTGGGTTCAAAAGTGCATTGTTCTTGGCCTATTGCACCACACCTCATAGCCACACACCTCCACCATTGATCTGAGGTTCTTGAAGGGTATTTTTAGAGGTTAAAGAGTTGTTTTTGGGCTAGAGAAGTTGCTGGCTTTGCTGAGCTTTAAGGGTAATCTCCTTTTCTTCTTTTAAAGCTTTGTCTTGATCACTCTCTTAGCCAAACTTGCATGCTTATTTGAGCTTTGTTGTCAACTGAAAAAAGTCTTGTTTTGAGGTCTTTTTGATGTTTGTTTAAGACCATTTTGGTGTTGAAGGTCATCTACCCTTTTGCATGCTTTAAATAGCCTTGTTTTGTGCCATGCCATAAAGCCTTTGATTTAATCTTTGCTCGGCCTTCCTACCACTGAAATCCAGTGGATTTTCAGTGGTTGGCATGCTATTTTAAGGGCTAAAATCAGAGAGGGGTGACCCTTTCTCTTTTGGCCTTGTTTGTTTTCATATTTGGCCTTTCCAAGGAGCCTATATTTTCATACTTCCTAGCCTTGGTTCAGGCCATTTTTAGTGACTTTTAGGACCTGCCTAGACTTTGTCTAGGGCTGGTTTGGTCACCTCATGCTTGCCTCTTGCATGTGTAGGATAATCCTCTTCATAGCTTATCAAAGGAGCATGTCATTCTTGCATGTATTGGTCATGTTTCAGTGGGTTTTTGGTCATTATTTGGCATATCATAGCTCCATCTTTGGCTGGTTTAGTGGCCTCTTGAATGCTTCACATGCTTGTAGTGTAAACCATGCTCACTAGCTTACATTGCATGTGGTTTTGGCCCTTGATTCTAGCACATTTTGGCCATGCTCTAAACTGATTTTGTTCATATTTTGGGCTGCCTCAGCTCTGTTTTTAGGCCTCTTGGCCAGATGATACTTGCCATGCATGGTTGTAGTGTAATACCGTTGCCTAGCCTTGAGTTTTGAACCCCCTTGCATGCTTAATTTGAGGTGTTTCTATGTTTTGGCATCATTAAGCATGATATTTCAGAGCGTATAAGATTTCCATATTCCCATGTTTATCACTCTTTAAATGCGTTTGAGAGTTGTGCTTGTACGCCTCATTTACGGACCATTGCATGCGTTTCATTTTTATACCTTTCAAACCATCATCTTAGTCCATTTTGCCACTATTTTGGGCCTGCATAGGGACTGTTTGGGGTTGGTTTGCTCATTTGGGCATTGCTTTGCATACCTCTAGTGTGATGCACTTCACTAGTTTCGGTATTCGAGCCATTCAACATGCATAACATGAGTAGCTTGCATGATTCGAGACCATTTTGTATGTCATTTCAGAGCTGGAACATGTGTTGTTGTATGTCATATTTTATCCTTTCCATGCTTTCATACAATTGTATCGTTGTGCCCTAGGCTTTGGGCCCTTGCATCTTGCATGTTTGCATGCGTTTTGTTGCCTCATTTTCATCATGTATGGCCACTGATTTGGGTGTGGCTGAGGCCCATTCATTTTGGTTTAAGTCCATTTTCCATCGAGTATGCCATTGTAGTTTATAGCATTGAGTATGTCGCGTTGTCGCGTGTTTGATCATTGCATTGCGCATGCCTTGTTCACTTCATTGTGTGTGATAGTCTTCACATGTGCATTGTGTATGGCATATAGTATCATGTGCATTGAGTATGCCATTGTTAGTTTGTAGCATTGTGTATACTAGTTTGCATGTTTGCACGTCATGCTTTGCATGTTTGCATGACTTGGTTGCATCGCCTTAGGATTGCATGCTTGAGGTCGCATTGTGCATGCCATTCTACTTGTTGCATTGTGTTTGGAATAGACACGAGAAACGAGGAACGTTTCATACTCCAAGTGATAAAACGTGCCTCGATTCTCGGTCGCCGACACTCTTGACCATCCATGATGGAGTTGCTGGTTTTAGTTGCTTGTATGTGCATTCATTTCACATTGAGTTGTGCAATTTGACTCCTCGACCATCATGCATCGGGATGCGTGATTGGTGGGCCGAGGATCAAGGACTACACTCTTTAGTGCTTATGTAATGATGGAAAGAATGGTCGGGCACACATATGTTGAAAATACCTTGCCTTCTCTCTCTCTTGCCTTTGTTGCAGAAAAAGCAGAAACCAGGAGAATGAACTGGTTGGCCGACCAGTTTTTCTGGCAGGCCGACCACCTTTTCTGGTCTTCACCACCAAGGGTGGTCGGCAAGTGGTCTCCCTTGTCCATAGCTGGTCGGCAGCCTTCCCATAGCTTCCCTGGGTGGAGTTTCATCTCTCTGGAGTCTCGTGCAACTTTCTGAAATCAATTGCAAACAAAGGCAAGTCGAGGCGTCGCGATGGATTTCCCGACAAGGCGACTCGGGCATGCATGCATCATTTATCATTCAAGGCAGAGCTGAGGCAATCCATTCATGTAGTGTGCATGCTAGTTTAGTTAATTTGTTAATTAGCTAGTGTTGTGTAATAATTAATTAATTCGATTCTGTATTATTTATTCGGACCCTCCGAGAGAGGGCGATGTTGTAATAAGTGTGCGTGTGTGTGATGTATGTCTTCCAACTCCACGTCTTTCTCCCTTTTATTTATCAGCTTAGGATGGTTAGTTTTAGCGCACGTTTCAATTAGCATCCTTATGCTCGTATGTTTGCATCCATTCATTCGTTTTGCATGCACCGGGCTCGGCGCATCATACTAACTACATCGTATTTCAATTCCAAGTTGAATACATGTTACCTGTAGCATCTCATATGCCATCTTAGAATAGCCAAGCCTATCTTAGTTGCATTCTTGCATGTGTTGCATTAGGCATCTTAGCACAGTTAGGATTCATGCATGTTTTCTAATTAGCTTCTTTCTTTGGCTCGGAGTACCCGGTAAGTGTTTATGCTTTAGCATCCTTGCATGTGTGTGAGTGACTGCCATGATAGCATGCTTACCATGAGGCTATGTGCTTATGTGATATAACTGCCTGAATGCCTGTGGGTGATGGTTGGGTTGCTTGAATTGGAATAATTCGTCGAAACCCGTGTTTTAGCCTACTTGCGAGTAGCAAACTTCAATCAATTTTCAAAACGAACGGATATGCGATGTTTTGTTCCAACTTAGGCAATCTAGTCTATACTTGTATGCTGTGCGCATCACATAGTAATTCTAGTTTAATAACCGGAATAAGAACACATGTGTTTTCAAAAATAAGGTATCATGTTTAGTAGTGGCCGATCTTTGATCGGGCGAGCGGGGGTGCTCATGAAATGACCTTCCCCAATCGTACCCAAGTTCTCGAGCTGGGGCAACTTTGGTGATGACGGACACGTGGCCTTAGGCACGAGTCAGAGTTTCCTAAATTTCCCAAAAATAAAATATTTAGGTGGCGACTCTGTATCTGGCAAAGTAGTCCATGTTTGACACTTCTTTCTAAAAATCAATTTTTCAAAACGATTTGTCGGATTTAGACTCTTTAGTGATTTATCAATCTCGCATTATACTGTGCGAGATCAGATTAAGAACCGTGACATTTGAGTCTGAACTGTAGTGAGCCTAATGAACAAAACGGACCTAAATGGTTGGAGAATCTTTAGCAAAACCTAAATTCTAATTAGGTAGGTGAAATACAGCATGTCATTTCATTTTGCTTGTTTGCTTAGGCCAAAATTGCCTCTTTTTTTTTTTTTTCATTCTCTCTTTTGGCATTTTATTTTTTAATTTATTCGTTCATATTTTGGTTTAAAAGAATGCTAGAAGTATCTAACAGTAAATCGTGTCCATAATTGCTTTTCAATCAAACATAAGTGGGTCGTTCAAAATAAAATAAAATAAAATAAACACAGGTGGGGACAACAAAAATCCAACACTTTCTTTCATCTTATAATTGTGAAACCTTTCTTTTTGACCAAAAAAAAAAATTAAAAAAACACAAAACTTGCTGACCCATCGTCTTTGGGTTTAGCAAAATGGTGGATGCACTTAATCCACTTCAATGCTTTTTGGTCAAACACATGGAAAAGAAGATGGTTTTCCACTAAACAAAACAAACTACAACAAGATTTCCCAAAAAAGAAAAGAGAAAATAATAATAAGAATTTTTTTTAAATAAACAATTAACTGAATAAAATAAAAATAGGTAAATGAAATAAGACTAAATAACTTTTGCATCTTCTTGTTGAGTAACTATTATATATATTGTTAAATTGTGTAGATGTAGCATTGGACATATTGAAACACTACCCACAGCTGGCAATGGCTCGAGATGGGAATGGTGAGACAGCATTGCATGTACTGGCTCGAAAACCTTCAGCATTTACTGGTGGAAGTCGGGTTAGCATGTGGAAAATATTTATTAACACATGTTATTTTCTCCAACCATATCTCTTCTCATCCATGTATTTTACTAGCTTCTCATGAATAGATCTGCTCGATGGGGACATTCTTTTACAAGCCTAGGTACTCTCTATCATATAACCCGATGGAAAAGGACTAGTAAATTGTGAGTTTAGACTTGGTAAAAAATAAGTAATGATTCTTTCAGTTTGGAGTGGCCAGGGAAGTATTTATACCTGAAAAAACAGAACAAAATGATCTGAAGCAACTGAAAAAACTTGAAGCACACCTGTGTATAATATGGAGTCTACTACTTCACAAAATACAAAATGATATTTGTCAGCCTACATCTTGGCAACAATATTTTCTTTTGAAACTTACTAAAAGAGGCCATTGGCTCCATTGAATAAAATTGCATTTTCTGATAAATGATTTTGTTGTAGTGCATAATTCTTGACCTTTGGAAAATGTACATATGGATCTGATTAAAATAGTTTCTACTTCCTACACTTCATCATTTCCCCAATTTCTAATTTTCCACCTATGAATATTGTTTTGTTTAAATGCTTTATTTGATAAGTTTATAATTTTGGGCGATTTAAACCTTTCTATCATACCTAACTTGTTACTACCTTAGCTGCTTGACCTACATGATCATTTTTAAGTCAGTTGGCTAGGCATAGTTTGCACACAGGAATTTAATATATGATGGTATCCTCTTTCCCAATTCCTGATTGTTTTTTGATGTGTTGAGCTTTGGATCTTCATTTGAAGCCATCAAATACTGGACCTATTGATTGCATCATGTGGGCGCTTATTGAAATCTTTCTAAGAAGTTCAAGAAGGGATGAGAAGGACCATGCCATTGTTATTTAAGAAAGTATTGTGGTAAAAATCTCTCTTGTAAATGGAACAAGGTATTCTCGATGAAAATCAAAGATCATGACGAATAAATTAAATTTCATGTAGATTGCTAGACAGTAAAAAATGCTTCTCTATCAAAATACTGATTAAAATGTCAAGATTTGAACTTGAGACAGTAAGAAAAATGCATGTCATTAAGCTTTGGAAATTCACAACCACATCACCTGATTCTTGATACATATCATATCACTTAGTACTTCTCATACCATTACACCAAAAATGTTGTTGATTCGTCTCCCAATACAACGATTTAGAACCATGATGAAGATTGTGTCAACCACTATTGGTAGAAAAACACAACTTTATAAAGAATAAAGGACAAATAAGTTTTATTTTAGAATTATATTGTTTTTATGTTTGGAAATGATATGAAGATTGTACCAATTGCTCTTTTTGAGCCTTCTCATGCTCTTATTTTTAACGTTCTTCAAACTGCTAATAATTAGTGGGTTGTTATTGTTGCTTTTATTGAATAATTTTCTCTAGAAAATTCATGATCAGGTAAAATGCTTTGTTCTCAGTTCCAGGTAGGAAGGTAGGACATGATAAAAGTCTGAAGCAAGCCCAAGCATTTGAACCAGTTAGATTGTAATGGAAAATGGTGATAAAGCAAGATGATTCAGAGATTTCGGACTTGATCCGAAGCCCTTCACGACTTCTCTTTGTTGCGGCAGAGCATGGAAACACCAAGTTCTTGATTGAGCTTAATGAAGCTTATCCTGATTTGATATGGAAAGTAAATAGCCAGAACCAAAGCATATTTCACGTTGCCGTTTTACATCGTCATGCAGGAATATTCAATATTTTATATGAGATAGGCTCGATTAAGAATTTAATTACTGCATATAGAGATCAAGATCGTAATAATATGTTGCATTTGGCTGCGAAGATAGCACCCCCAAATCAACTTAATATCGTGTCAGGGGCAGCTCTTCAAATGCAAAGAGAGCTACTGTGGTTTAAGGTAAACGTTTCCACTCGGTTAGTAATTTCAAAATTTTGATTTTTCCTAGTGCTTTACATAACTTATTTTACTGTTGGCAATATTTTTCTAAAAACATGATTGAACTCTTAAGTCCAACATGACATCCACATTGGCACTTGAATTTGGTGGGTTTGCAATGGACCAACCATATCATTGAATAAAGGCCACCTATAGCTTCTTGTTTCTAGCATAGGTTTTATTTGTTATTTCAAATGAGAAGTCAATCAGATTATACTTCATTATTGCACCCTTCTCTAGCAAACTTTATTGCTGTAATGTTTTGAAGATTCTATTTTCGTAATAATTGATTTTTATAGTTTTTTATAATATGGTCCCTTGTCAATGTGATGGTCATGGTCCTGAAAGATTTAATGAATGCTCATATCAATTGTTCGAAAATTTGTTTATTGCTCTTACCTTCTCTTTTCTTCTCAGAAAATACTATAAAACTCAAAACTAAGGAAGTTTACAAATTTTTCCTTACTCACAGACGTGGCATACAGTAGTAGAACTTTTGCTGGTTTTTGTTCGTTGGAAGGTGTAGATGGCCTAGTGCTATTCTACTCGTCAGTTTCTTACCTTCTCTCTTTCCCCATTTTTGTTGCGTTTTATTATCTCCAATAAAATTTTACTATCCTTATGCGGATAAAAAAAGATTAAAAAATAGAATTTATGAATTTAAAACAGGACCCACTAAAATAGTGTTATCGGAGCAACAGATGTGGTAGTTTGTAAAATTTGTTAGTTTGAATAGCATAACTCTACCCCTTCTCTCTTTTTATTTTTGTCCGCTTAGTGAAAGGATAACATCTATCATTTTGGTTGTTGCAGGAGATGGAAAACATTATGCAACCTTCATATGTAGAAAAGAAAAACTCAAAAGGCAAAACACCTCGAGCTTTATTTACTAAGGAGCACAAAGACTTAGTTGAGAAAGGGGAGGCATGGATGAAGAACACCGCCTCCCAGTCTATGGTTGTTGCAACACTTATAGCAACCGTAATGTTTGCTGCAGCTTTTACTGTACCAGGCGGCAATGACAGCAATACAGGAATCCCAATCTTTCGAAAGCGTAGTTCTTTCATGGTTTTCGCAATATCAGATGCCATAGCATTAGTCACCTCTTCCACTTCAATACTCATGTTCTTATCTATACTCACCTCACCTCACGCTATGCTGAAAATTATTTCTTGGAATCATTGCCCTTTAAGCTCATGATTGGACTCACGACACTCTTCATCTCCATAACTACCATGATGGTAGCTTTTGGTGCGACATTTTTCATTGTTTTTGACCATTGTACGTGTAAATCAAAACACAAACCATGCAGCGGAATAAAATCATCAGATCATACCTTTTTGATGATTGAACCTCGTGGATAAATCACGTGCTTCCAGAATCAGATCAATCAATCCCAGCAGTGGGGTGATATTACAATGGTGAATATCACCCACACAAACCACAGTGCAAAATGACTTTGATCGTTGTTTCTTGGGAGAGAGTCAGAATATGGGTTGAAACAGACTCAACGTTGTTTCTCTTGGATTACCCATAACCATATAACAAATATTTAATATATTATAATATCTATCCATATCAGTTAAGATACAGATAATATCTAATATATATTATATCTATCTATATCAATTCAAACTGATAACGTCTGTTTCAAGAGTGGTTATCCTAAATAGGTTTGATTTCAAAATCAAAACCTATTTGGATAAGGATTCAAAATCAAATTTAATGGTCAGGTTGTGTCTTTGACTTTAGTGGGACGTGGGAGAGGCACTTGCCCTTGGTGGAGTTTGCCAAC